GTCTATCGTTAAATTTAGTCTTGGATTTTTCTCTTGTCCACTACATGTCATAAACATAGTTTGGAATGTTAAAGTGTCCATACGATGTTTTGTCCAAGTTAGAAAATGTAATAATAATTTAGTAGTAATAATTTGGCGTTTACAATGTGCCTAAGTAACTTTCAACTCAACTGTATTTACAATAAATAATTTTAAAATCGTCATTATTTTTTAACAATGCTATCTCTTTAACAAAAAATAAGTATTTCTTGTATAAAAAATATTCAATGAATCCGGTACGCGGAATAGAATAAAAAAATGTTTAAAGAAATACAATGAAACGGTACAACAATACAATAAGCACAATGATGCAGCTATTGCCCTAGCTATGGATTCAGTAAGGAAAAATTCAAGTTTACGAAAAACAACAGCTAAAGTCGGTTTCAGCAAAACTACATACGTAAAATATTCAGCCAAAACAAAATTTATTTATCTCTCTCTCTTGTCATTTCCCCATTACTGGGTATCGTGATTTCTTTCAATATTCCTAACAATTTTTCTTCGCAGCTTCGCTAAGCTTCGCAGAATAAGTTTCCAGCTGAATTCTTAATTTGGTCGGACCATCTAGTTGGTGATCGTCTTCTTGGCTTTTCCCCGAAATGTTTCCAGAAACAATTAATCTCTCCAAACTATCGTCACCTCTGCGAACCACGTGACCGAAATTGGAGAATACGTTGCAGATATATTGTGGACAGCCATTTTTTAATCTCAAGTTGGTTTAGAATGGAAACGATTGTCCAATGAGCTGTCCAACGTATGCGCAGCATTCTTAATCATATGTACTTGAGATTCTCTAGACTTTTCAATGAGTTGTCTCATTTTCAGGATTTTTTCCCGTGTACCTTTACCCTTTACAAATCCCGCTTGTTTCTGAGGTATTTGGTAATGTAGATAGATTTTTAATCTGTTTTTGATGATATGCAACAAGATTTTACTAGCATATGTTATTAGTGACAGTGTGCGGTAGTTTTCACATCTGGTAGTAGTTCCTTTTTTGTATAGCGGGATATAAATTGAGGTACACCAATCAGATGGCCATTTTCCTGAATTCCAAATAGCGACACAGACAGAATGGATGATATGTAATTCTTTATTAACTAGTAACAATTGTATTGAATCAATGCCTGTGGATTTATTTCTCTTTAGCGATTTAATTGCATCTTTGACTTAAGCGAATAAGACAGTAGGTTCTCTATGGTAGTCAGAAGGCCAATGATTTTCTGCTTGCAACAGTAGTTTCACCATGTTTTCAATATTTCCAATATTTATTTAATAATTTTCCAAATTGAATACAAACCGAAATTTATTCACAGCTTTCAAGATTGTGATTATGACATGCCTTTTGTGAAATAATTTGTGGAATAACCGGTTCTTTCCCGATAATATTTAATTTTTTGATAAAGAAATGTTCACGTTGTGACGAATGGAATCGTTTCATCCCAGAATACTGTCAGTATTGAGCTAGCGTAAATTTGTATTGCAGAATTCAGTATCAAAGTAAAATTGCTAAAAAGGTAAATGTTTAAGAAGCTGTTTTACCAGATTAAATAATCGGAACTATGGCTGGATGAATATTTTGCTTAACGATTAATAGGACGGTATGGACTCATACATTTTCTACTCAGATCAAACGATTTAACAATTTTGGATATTCTTTATGGGGCTGCCTAAACCAGAAAGTATATGAAAAAAATTTAAACCATAGTATTGACGTTTTGACATAAGCAATAATTGCTTATAAAGAATTTAGAGATAGATATGTTGAATGCAAGATATTGAAATATATAGGGTGTCAAATTAACTCGGCACCATAGACTTTTTGTTTAGTTTTATAAAAATAGTTATTCTGTATAAAAAATTCTGCATATTCTGCATTCTGCAAAAATATGAATTGTGGATATTGTTTACTCTTACATAAAATTCATATTTTTTGACAAACCGCGTATACGACTAAAAAAGTTTTTTATATGGTACAGTTAAGTCTATACGATATGGAGAACTTTTTTATTTTTAGTTTTATAAAAAAAGCTTTCTTTGTAAATAGTTGTTTATCTATAAAAAGTCTTTATCAGATAATAAACTTTTTAAGTCATATACGAGGGTGAATTGTTATAAAACTAGAATTTGATAGAAAAAATAAGTTTTTTGGAATTAAATCGATTTATTTCTTAACATAGTCCCCTTTTTTTGTCAGATACACTTAGTAAGACGATGTTCCATTTTTTTATCCCATCCGAATAGTACTTGTGCTCGAGCTCTTCAAAATATGCCGAAGTTTCAGCGATGACTTCAACATTTATGGTGAAACGGCGTCCTCCGGCCCATTTTTTTAGGTTTGAAAATAAAAAAAATCGCTGGCGGCAAGATCTGGGGAATACGGTGGGTGTTCAACCAATTCATAGCCCAATTCATGTAATTTTGCCATGGCAACGGCCGATCGGTGAGCCGGTGCATTGTCTTGGTGAAAGAGCACGTTTTGTGCTCCAAACCGGGGCGTTTTTGACGCAATTCGGCATCGAATGGATCCAATAATGCTGCGTTGTACTCACCATTGATTGTTTTTCCTTTTTTTAAGTAGTCGATGTGGATGATGCCCTTCACATCCCAGAAAACAGTCGCCATCACTTTGCCGACCAAATGTGCACTCTTTGCCTTCTTCGGCGGCCCTTCGCCGCGTTTGCGCCACTGTTTTGACTGTTCTTTGGTTTCTGGTGTGTAAAAATGCACGCAGGTTTCATCAATAGTGATAAATCGGCGAAAAAAATCCTTCGGATCGTGCCGTAAACACTAGTACGACCACGAACAAATTTAGCTTTCCAACACTTTACTGTTACTAACGAAGGTCATAAACTTTCGGTCGGCTTTAATTTGCACATTCATTTTACCCTTTTTTTTAGAGGAACTTAATCACTGAACGATACTCGACTTTTTCCATTTCTCCGAAAACACAAAATTTGCTTGCTTTTGACGGCTATAAAAACCAAATTGTTTTTAAAACTTAAAATTTTAACAGACGTCATATCATGAATGACAAATGTCAACACCGAAACCAATTCGGTATCAAGTAGCGCCATCTATCAAAGAATAGTTTAATATCAATCTATCCTCGTACAGGGTTTGTCAAAAAAGTTTATCTAAGAGTACATATACAAGTATGTATATTATTAAGATGTTATTATGATGTTATAAGAATTTCATATTTTTTGTCAGACCACGTATATAGCTGAAAAAATTTAATATTTGATGATTATATTTTAGGTTTTAGAACATGCAGAACTTTTTATAAAAAATAAATTGTTATCATAAAACAAAAAATAAAATATTTAAATTGACTTAATTTGACACCCTGTATTTATAATAATCTTTATTACTTGACTTGTTATAGATTACCATTAAAATTAACTGTTTTGTGACATAATACATATTATTGCTTAGATAATGGTGTAAACGTTAGCTACTAGATTATTACTACACTTCTGAAGTTAGTGCAAAAATTCATAACGATTTACTTTAAGTAAAAGTATAAAATTCAGCAGGTTTTGTACATTTTGAATTTTATTTTATGTTGTTTTAGAATAAACCAAACTTTTTACCAAGAATGAGATTTTTCGCTAAAAATAAAAAAGTTCTCCTTTTGAGCAACCCATCTGTAGACAATGTATGTCTTGTTCGCTGCAAGACTATTATACATTGCTTTCTCCGAGAGACTTAGATCTCCTTTTGTCTCGTACCTTCTTTGGTGGTAAAAAAAGCTGATCTTACATTTTTATGTTAAACACTATCCATTTATACAGTTTTAAAGTTTATATCAGATTTTGTATTAATGTATAATATTAGATAAAATATTTTTCTTATCAACAAATTTCAAGTACATGTGTCCTTCGTTTCACCTTAATTTTCCATATTATTCTTTTACACAATTTGGTTATAGTGCCAAGTAGGGTAATGTCCCTGTAGCTTTCATAGTCCTTATCTTCTTTTTTACAAATCAATATTTATAGATTGAACCTTCAGTCTTTTGGTTGGTTTCTTTTTTCCATTACCAAGGAAATAGTGGAGATGAGAATAATTATAGGAAATACGCTGTGAGGAAAAAAGGTAAAGGCATAAGAAAAAATTTAACGTAAACAAACAGATCAATCAATCAGTTGATAAAGTTCTACGACATCTTCTGATTTCGAGTCTCCATTTATCTCGGTCGTTCCAAAGGTTTTCTTCAACTCCCTTCTCCCTTAAGTATTTATCGATTCCTTCTATTCAACTTAATCTCGTCTATATTGCTTTCTTCTTCCATGCGGTGTCCGTAAGCGAATAGATAATAAACAAAAAAAAACGTCACACTGATGTGTCATTGCGAAAGAGGATTATCAACAAAATACTTTTGCTCAGAACCAGCACTAGCAGTGCTAAAAAGACTGTTCACGATGGGGAAAAGCCTGGATTTAGCATATACCATATTGTTACTGGTAAAATATATCCGATGAAATACATTACCATCATCATCATTTTGGCTTTATAACCCTTTATGGATCCTTGCCTCCTTAAGAATTTTTATTCATTCATCTCTATCCATCGCTTTCCTCCGCCAAGCACGTACTCTCATATTTTCACGTCTTTTCTTATATTATCAAGGAACCTTGCTCTGGTTCTTCAAGTTGTCTACTGATCAATGGGGCTTTTAAGGATTGGTACTGATTTGTTATAATAATCAGCCGGTGATTGTGATTTGTAACATTACTTTTGTATTACTTTTTCCAAAGTCAGATTGAACAGTATATAGGAAAAGGCCCTGGCGCAGCTCGTTATTTGCTTTAAAAGATTCAGATAGCTTTTCCTGCTAGGAGATTCGTATTCTACATTAAACTTTTTCTAGAATTAGCTTTCGTAAATTTATTAACTGATTTGGTACTCCTAGCTTTTCATTGCTCTGAACATATCTCTTCTTTTTACAGAGTCGTAGATTGCTTTGTAGTCTTTAAATATGTGATGAGTATCTTCGTCATATTTCAGTGTTTTTTTTTAATTTGTCTTAGGGTTGCAATCTGATGAATTGTCGGTTTACCACCTCGGAAAGCAACTTGGTATTTTCTTACTATTCGTTCAGCGTATGCATAGTATTGTGGAAAATATTTTATATGCTCCATTTAAATTTCAGTCACTGAGAAAGAATTTGTGTGTCCATATGTCTTTTATCAGCTGCTGTAGTGGTATTATAGTATCATCGCCACCTTCTGTATATAATTCAGCTGAAAGATTATCTATTCTGAGTGATTTATTTCTGGCTAGTTTCTTAACTACATCTTTAACTCCAAAAATCGTTGCTGGTTCCTCTTCCCTTACCTCGTATCTTTCATCTTTCAGGTTTTCTTCTTCTCTCTCTATATTTAGTGCCTAGTTAAAGTATTCCACCCATCTATTCAATACATATTTTCTTCTTCTGCATTGGCTTGTGGTTGCTTTGAATTATTTTCGGTTGATGTTAACTTTTTTATGGAATGCTCTAAGTTCTTTGAATTATTTCTCTCTGTTAATATTTTCTATATATTTAAGTTCATTACTTAATTGGTTTAATGTTTTTTTTGTGTACCCTCTTTCCATGTCTTTTCTTTTTCTGGTAATTTTCTACAGTTATTCTAGTTCATCGGCAAGCCTCTTTTTGTAGTCTTTATTTTCTTCTTTATTATTATATATATTTCTTCTTTTCTTTATTTTTGTTGCATTCTTGCATTCATCCTCAAATCAATGATTTTAACAGGCACAATTTTCTATTCCTACTTTATCTTTGGCTGTCCCTTCAATATTTTTTTATATTTTGCTAGTAGGAGCCTAGATCTTTTTGTCTTCTTCATTAACATTTTTATCCCTAGCCTTTTTGTAATGTATTGTGAGTACCGTTCTGCAATTGTTGCATCTTTCAGCTTTTGCACATTGCACATAGTGAGCACGAAAACTCACTTTTGTCCTATTGTTGCATTCTGTCCATATGTTACCTAAAACAATATTGGCGTCATTTCTTAAACATCTTCTGTAGGCTTGCTCTAGGTCTTTGGTAAAATACATTGCAAAATGTATATTGGATGGGCAAGCGCTAACAGGGCTAAAGTACTTAGATTAGAAGCTTCCTTACTGGGCATGTGCCAGTCAAGATACACCTGCACGCAACGAGGCTATTTCATGGAGACTTAAGATACAGACTATTCAACAAATAATTTGAAATAATCAATGACATCCTGTAGGATTATAAGTCACTAGATCGCAGGCGACAAACACTTTTTAGAGACTACCAAGTAACTCTAAAAACATCTTGTACCTATTTACTAGACCTGTATAAGCTAGTACTTTTTCTTGTAGTGCCGTTGACGTACCATCTTAAGGTCAGACTTGTGTCTTATGCGGAATGCAAAAGTACTCCAGTGTTATTTATGCCTATCCAGTTCTTTATATTATGTAGTCATGATATTAGTTTGCGTCCTACTCCTCTCTTAATAAGCTAATATAGGGTTTCAAAATTCTGTAATGGGTATCATGAATAAATGAAAGATGGAAAACAAGTCACCTGGTATAACCGGTTAATAACAGACAGCATTCGGAGAAAAAACATGATGAGAATGTAGAAGACTAGAGTGATAAGAGAACAAGAGATAAATCACAAAAATATAGAAGTTTAAAAAAACGCGGAAAAGTTAGACCGACAACCTTCCTTAGAGGTAGGGTCCATCAATCACAAAGTAGATTTCTTAGAGAAGAAGAAGAAGAAGAAGAAGAAGAAGAAGAAGAAGAAGAAGTATTTTAAAAAGTTCTAGAAAAAGAATTGTTATTGATGATTTATGTCAGACAATTCATGTGGAACAGATATTTAAACAAACTGGGCGAATAATATGAATAGAGAAGAAATAAAAAAAGACGCCCAAGATAAACCTGGCAACAAAGAATAGTTAAAACTATAAGTAAAATATATGTGAGAGAGAAATATTGACCACATTTGCTACGAACCTGAATAACTCTTTTCGACTTATTATTTTCTTTTACTTTCGTCAGTCCTCCACCAACTCAAACTCATCAGCCATATAGTTTCTTCGTTTCAAATAAATATGAACTTTGAAAGCGACAATTCCCAAAACGACCACAAGAAGAATAATAACCAGGCCCAAAGAAATGTTAAACATTACGTGAGTTTCCTTTGGACGACTTAACGCACCAGCTTCTTCATCTCTACAGAATATTCCTCCAATATTCATCTTATCTGTTATCTCGTTCTTTTGTAGAGTGTACGACACATTTTTAAACTTCAAATAGTCCACTAATTTGGACAACAGAGCACAGGATAAGTCATTAAACTTGACATCTAACAAAATCAGTGATGGTAAACTGGTCATAAGTTTGTCGTACTCAATAGCATGTAACTTATTGTATGTTACATCAAGGGTGTTTAGATTCTTTAGGTTTTTAAAAACCGTGTAATTTAGTTCCGTTAGGGAGTTACGTGAGAGATTTAAAATTTCTAAATTTTGTTGGTCAACAAAAATATTATTATTTTGGATAACACTTAGTTGGTTTTGGGAAATGTCTAAAATCTTCAGGTTTTTTAAGGTTTTAAAAACGTTTTTTGGAATAGCTACAATACTGTTGTTTCTAATTTCTAGATGGGTTAAATTTGTAAGCCCGTGGAATGATAAATCCACTAGTTTAATATGGTTGTTACTCAGATCCAAGTGTTTTAAGTAAGCGTAATAAGTGAATGTGTTAGGGGGTATGATTGTTATATTATTATTATATAACTTTAACGTTTTTAATACGTTTGTGGTGTTAATGCTTAAAAGATACTTTATATCAAATTCGTTGTTTCCTAAATTTAAGGATTTAAGACTATTAAAATACTGCAAATTGAGCTGACTGACTTTATTATTGGACAAATCAAGCTTCTCCAAATAACTCTTACCATTAAATAAATCATCCTCTATACTGTTTATAGCGTTATCATGAATTTTCAGCTCCTCTAAATAATCCAAAAAAGAAAAGTGCGAACTGTTTAATTTGGTTATTTTATTCCCTTGTAGCTTTATTACCTTTAAGGATTTTAAAAAGGCAAATGAATTGCTTAAGTATTCAATATTGTTGTGACTAAAATCAATTTCGTAGAGATCTGTGAATGTGACACTTGGCCTCCAGTACGTGAAGCTAGCTCCTACAGATCGTTTAGCACTATTGACTGAAAACACTGGTTCAGTTACTTGATCTTCGCAAAAGAACACTTCACCCATGTGCTCTATATTGTTGTCAGAAAAATTTAACGATTTTAAATATTTGTTACCACATAAAAATAAATTGCTTATATCTACTAGATTATTCTGTGTTATTTGTAAACGTTGTAGTTTTGCAAGCTCGTTGAAAGAGTTTTTTTCTAAACTATTTAAACTATTCTGTCTTAATGTTAACTTAGTTAAATTTGGTAAATCTGCCATGAAAGTTGCACTAGGTTTGAACCTCGTATTTATCACAACCAGCTCCTCCAATTGGTTGACATGTTCGAAGATGCGTTCAGTTGGAGGAAACGAGAAAGTTGAGTTCGATATACTTAAGCGTTTGATGTTATCCACGTTTTTGAAGAGATCTGAGCTGACTCCTGTCAAAGTACAGTTTTCCATGGTTAGACTTATTTCGTAGTTGATGTGAATGTCACTTAGGAGCGTTGTGTAATTGTTGGTGAGTCCTTGGCAAATGATGTCATAGCCTTTCTCGTACACTGAGTCGATGAAATTAAACTCTTTGTCACAATGGAGAGCTTCTAATGTTGAGATAAGTGACATCACTAATAGCAGTCTCATTTTCCTGTAACAAAACATTAAGATTAATAAATATTTGATGTCGGTACCAAGTTTTAAGAAAATATTACTATCAAACTTTATTTGATATTGAGGGAGACAGTAAAAAATCATTTTTAAGTCGCTATTTCATATGCGTATCTGTTTATAGAGTTACAGTTTATTATATTATTTATTATTGCTAATATTCTTATATTTGTATAAAATATGCCACTTAAGTTATACTAATTTTTCTACTTTAAAATTTTTAATAAAACGTGTTATAGTGTATTTTTATGTATGAGAGAGTAATAAAACAATAAATTATGTATGCAAATCCCTAAACTGTTGATACGGGTGACTCAATGAAAAACAGATATTTGTCAACAAGTTTACAGAAGTATATAGGAAAACAATTTTAAATTGAGTATGACCACCAGGTATAAAGGTTGGAGCAGAATAGAATACAATACTTGTGAGGCTTACTAATCCCTAAATAAGGTTGCCAGTGTCGGAGTGATGGAGGTTAACAGGTACTAATGAATTTGCAAGAAATGTAAGTAAATATTTATTTTATTGGTTATATATAACCAATAAAAGTTTAATAAGTAACTACCTATTTGCAAAATAAAATTTAATTCTTTAGATAAAATATAACGTTTTATTTTATCTGAAATGAGTGCATTCCACGAAGTAAGGGTTTCAACAATCAAACATATAATTCTTTAATTCCAGGAATCTACGACAGTAATTGACTAGATAATTACCTTCTAAACTTATTCCACAGAAAATGTGAAAGTGGGTTTCAATTCCATTAGTCAAAATTCCATTTTGTAGGAAGGTCCAAGTGGCGTATTCAAAATTCTTAACAGTTCACTAAAAGTAGGTACTTCAGTTGCAAGGTGCAGTTTATTGTATATACTAGTGTTATGGAAAATTTGGAAGTGCCGTGTAAACGCCGAAAAATTGGTCCTTTAACAGTTAATGAAAAAACATTAATATTTAATTGTTTTAAATCATTTACAGACAAACGTTTATGTGAAAGTGTTGATGAGACCGTTGAGTTAGTTAGCAGTACACTTGGTGTTGGGAAATCTACGATTTACAGAGTTATTAAAGAAGAGAAATGTGGTAGTTTTCAAATGCCACGTAATGCTCCAGGGAAACCAAAATTTCAAATAGAATATCATTTTAAAGAAGGGTTTCGACGGAAAGTGCATGAATTCTTCTTTAGACAAGAATTTTCAACATTGGATAAAGTTCTTGTCTCAGTTCGAGATGATAAGGATTACTCAAAAATGAGTCGAAGTACGTTATGGAAACTTTTAAAAGAAATAGGCTTCCGCTGGAAAAAGAATCCCAGAAAGTCTATTTTATTAGAAAGAAGCGATATTGTCATATGGAGAAGACATTTTCTAAGAACCATAAAGGAAATGAGAAACCAAAAAAGAAAAATATTTTATCTTGATGAAACATGGATCAACGAGGGTCATACACCAAATAAATGTTGGCAGGATGAAACTGTTATAAGTCAAAGGCACGCTTTTGTAAATAACTTATCTACTGGTTTAAACCCACCATCAGGAAAAGGACGCAGGCTGATAATAATACACATTGGCAGTTCAGACGGTTTTGTTGAAGGTGGTTTATTAACTTTTGTATCAACTCGTACCGGTGAATACCATGAAGACATAAACGCTGATGTCTTTCAAGAATGGTTCGAACAAATGATAGATCTTCTTCCTAAGAACTGTGTAATAGTAATGGATAATGCAAGTTATCACTCCAGACTTATAGAAGGAGTGCCCACAACCAAGTGGTTAAAAAAAGACTTGCAGAATTGACTGAGTTCAAAAAATATTACGTACCATCCCGGATCTATAAGAAAGGAACTTTATTCGTTGTGTGCCCTTCATAACGAAAAATTTAAAAAATACGAAATTGATGAAATTGCCAAAAATCGTGGAATGACAGTACTTAGATCCCCACCATATCATTGTAAATTAAACCCGATTGAACTGGTATGGACACAGATAAAGAGTGAAGTTTCAAGAAAAAATACCACTTTTAAAATTCGTGATGTTAAACAGTTGTTTTTGGAGGCCGTAAATAATGTAAAACCTGAAAACTGGGAAAAGGCAGTAAATCACACTATTAAAGAAGAGGAAAAAATGTGGAAGCTGGACAATATTACTGATAAAATGATCGAGCCAGTTATTATAAATCTTGTTTCTGAAAGTTCATCTTCTGAATCTGATTTGGATTTGTAACAAGTAGCTGTAAGTTTTATATTAATATTTTTATTCATCTATTTAACATACCTTAGACGGTTTTAAAAACTCTTTTTCTCTTTTGTAATTTGTAAAAATTAAAAAAAATGTGAATTTTTTAAAACCCTTTTTAATGTAGGCCAGTCAGTTCTAATATAGTGTGTGATAAAAGAAGTCACTTTTGTTTACATACACATAACACTTTATAACACTGAAATAATTCATTTATTTTTTACAATTATTCAAAGTAATTTTTTAATTAATCTTGAGCACGCCCATTGAGTGGTCGGAGGTACCAGTTAAAATTATGCTAATTACTCTCTCGTTCATAAAAATAAACTATAGTAATTTCAAGATATCTCTATTAGCAGTTGACAAAATGTGTGATAGACTTAACGGAAGCAAATATTTCATTTCAATTAGAATCAATTTATTAGTTTTCTACATATTTGTAGCGGCCAAAAAAATATAGTTAAAATCTCCGTAAAACTTATACCAAAACTGTAGAATGGTGTCGCTAATAAGCCAAGTTTAAATAAATCCAACGGGAATCGACCATGATTCGTTTTTATGCAAAATACACTTTTTTTGCGCCGAGAAGAATTTGATAGTCTAGTAAATAAATATGTAAATAAATACTCTTTCATTGTTGTTCCCATTTTAGCCTTATTTTATTTTTTATTAAGTTAAATATATTCCTCACTGTATAAATATTGCAAAAGATTTTATTTTGTACGGGTTCCTTAGCTAGAGTATCAGCTTTTTTATTCCTTGGTATACCTACATGCCTTCTTACCCAAATAAATGGTATATTTAAATCTGCACTCATGTTTTTAAACATTATTTGCCAATGCTTGGTACTGATAGTATGCCTGGCTGAGAGTATGTCTTTGAAATCAAATCAACAAATCTGTTGAATGAGCGGATTTTTGAAGATTTACAGAATCAGGTGTATGTGAGACATACATAGTTTGTTGCGTAGTTTTGGGGGACACATGTGGATTCTGATTTGAGAAAGAGGTGGTCTGTATGATTTTAATATGTGTATTTTTAAAATGTTGGCTTGTGAAAAATGAGATGGTGGCGGAGATGTATAAGAAAGGGGTACGTTATACGAGTGTGATTAAATTAAACTTTTAGTCGAGGAAGACGCAACAACGGATGGTTGTATTGAAATAGGGGTACCATAAGACAGTAAAAAAAAGTAAAATTCGTATAACCTTCTGGCTAAGGTCTAGTGTTAGGGTTTTCAGGTCGCGCAAGCGCCCCTAACATGACTTAATGACTACTTTCGTAGGCGGGACCGACAGATTTACGTGCCCTCCGAAGCACGGTGGCAGCTTAGTTAAATTAGAAATTTAAAATTTTGTCGGGGTCACCGTAAGACAGTGATGTGTAATTTGTATGTATTAACATTAGAGATATTAGTGAAGGAGCTTACGTTTTTTTAGTACGAGACACGTCGAAAGTAGTCGAACAGAATTTTTTTATCTAGGATTCTACGGTTGCGATATGTGTCCCTTTTTTTTCTGTGCCGCGCGTTGCATTACACAGATACGCGCGAGATAATTTATAACAGCCTTTTTCTCGTTTTTCTTCGCTCCTTGGTGCAGAGCATATAGATTATCGCTCACTTATTCTGAGTGATATATCTCTCTCTAACTTGCGGCTTAGATTGTCTACTGTTCTGTTCTATTGGTCAGTGTTGTCATGTTGTACAAGACACTATAATAAGTTCGTTATTTTATGACTATGTTACTGTAGGTGAATTATTAATATAGAAGTTAGTATATATTATCTATAATCACACTCTTGCAACATTGTTATCGTTCAAACTCAATTATCATTTCTCGAAAATTAGTGCATAAAATTTTGATTTTTTTGCTATAGTTACTTTAAAAACCATTAAAGATGAACTTGAGCAATTTGAAACGATCTCCCCGGCACAAATGCCATACAATTATTATTATTATTATTATTATTATCACTTATCTAGGTAAAAATATAAAAAAAGTGTATGGACGTATTTTAATTAAGTTGTTTATTTGATGCCTTTGTATAAAATGTGTCATTATTGTTGGAACAAATAAAAACCACGCTATAAACTGTTCGAAAGGTAATTACAAACAGAAACTCAACAATTTAAACTAGCGGCAAATTCCATTGTTATCGACGATTTTAATTTAAACGACTTGAGGTGACCACACACTAGATAGAGATAAGAGTATAAGTAAAATAATAATTATTAAACATAAATTTGAAAAGTCATTTTTGAATTGACATAACATTGACAAAAATAAATCTAGATGGCTTGGTAAATTATATTTTGAAGCGAATATTCTATACTGGCATTGTATTTTGACCTTTTCTCTACAGTAAAATGCTGAGGCGAATGTCACGAAACGTTCAATGCGAATAGTTGAAAGAGTCCATTTGCCAACGAAATGAGTCGGTTATACAACATGTAATTTTTTTCGATTTTATTACAATCTATAAAGAATTTGTATAAAAAAATAATAAACAAAGACTATTATTTAAATTTTAAAACACGGAAACCATAGTATGAAACGTGGCACAGTACCGCCTACCATACCACTTTTTTTGTATACCTATACATTGTATATATTTTTATCAGTTAACAAAGGCACACAAATGATAACCATCATTTTATCAAGTAACTAAAGGAGAGGATAAAAACTAGAACTTATATGCCTCAATAAATGCCAGGTAGGGGATTAAAAGAAGGGTTAAATAACCT